AAGCAGCGAAGCGAAGCATGCCAGTATGCCGTTTATTTCATAGCAAGATGATAGTTCTCACAGCATCGATGGACATTGATCCATCGCTAGTTCATTGGATAAGTGAGCAACCATATATGGCAATTATAACGCCCAATATAACTTTACTCTTGGACAATATGCAATAAATCGGCGAGGCAAGAAGAGGCTTGACTGCTAGTTAGAAGTTTGAATGCACATAAATACATAAAAATAGATGAAAAAAACAAAATAATTTTCTTTAGCCCTATGTTTTCGATACAGCGCATATTTCATTATTTTTAAAATCAATCGTACTTATGGTTTCAAGTCCAAATAAGGAAGATTCGATTTAGCCTGGGCAGAAGCACAAGCATGAATACCAAGAGGGTGTGGCCCTTTCTATGGTCGCAATCTCCTTTCGTTGTATAGAAGCTGTTTAAGCTTGTTTTCACAACTTGGTCATATTGGTAGGAAGGCCTAGAGGAATGCACCTAGTACGGAGGCCACATGATACAGGATAATTTCTAGAGCCGGACCATGGACGAGGTAGACTCCCAAACGTTTCGCCGGCATCGTCAGTGAGCCTTGCCAATCTTAGTACGATACTACAACTCGTCAGAGACAAGTGAAGCTTATCCTTTGACAAATTGTCTGCTAAACAATTGTAGTATCTCTCCTCCTATCCTGGACTATTCACCAATCATTTATCCTCGTATCATGTCTTTACAATCACAATTTCTTAATTCCTTATTTAAATGAAGTATGGTATGTCTTTTTGAGCGGATTTCATGAGAACTCTCCACACCCAAGCTGGCTTTCTCATCCCCTCAGCCTGCAATCCTTTCCCATAGATCTTATCATAGTCTCACTCTTGCTCCATAGGATGCGCCTTCTACTTTCCTCGTTCAGGTATTTCATTAGACCCTTGCGGCTCTATCTGTACTACTCGACGCGTTATTTCCCACACTCTGTCTTAAGCCTTTGATAGCACACATACTTCCGTCTCGCTGAGTAGGCCTCTGAAAATAAGGATTCTCAAGCTGGATGGGAGACTTGAGGTTAAAGAGCCCGAATAATTCTCATCGCCAAGCCTTTGCTTCAATGGACCATGTCTATGTATTCGATTGTTATAGCCAAATTACATTTGCTTCATCGACAATACCACCAAAGAATGTGATATGGCAAAAGACATGGCCTTCCTTGAAACTCACATCTGACCTGTGACCCTAAGGCACTCGTGGCAATGTGGCTGAGTGTTTAACGTGTCAAGCTCACATGCTGCATTGTCACAATTCGAATCCCATAGGGGGTGTTGATAAGACCCATACGAGGTCGAAACTACAGTCCACCCTGGATGATAAAAAATTTTGGGAAAGGAAAGCTATGTGAAATTCAATGGAAACGTCAGCTCTACTCATATCATTGTGGAAAAATTCCGCCACCAGTTCTTCATCACCTTAAACAAGAGGGTGAATACATCTCATACAACAGTAGACGTGGTCTTATGAAGCAAAGGCTTAACCATGAGAATTACTCGAAATCTATAGACTCAAGTTAGTCTCCCATCCAGCTTGAGAATCCAGACTTTGTGGGACTACTCAGCGAGGCGGGAGTATACGTGTCATCAAAGGCTTGAGGCAGAATGTGGAAGGTAAAACTTCGAGTAGCACAGATAGGGTAGCAGGGGTCAAGTGAAATACCTGAATAAAGGAGATATGAGACGGATAATACGGGACAAGAGGAAGACTCTGATAAGACCTATAGGAAGGGGATTGCGGGGTGAGGGGGGTGAGAAAGCCAGCGTGGGGATTGGAGAGTTCCCATGAAATTCTCTCAAAAGGTGCCCACCATACCACATTTTAATAAACAATTAAAAAATTGTGATAGTGAAGAGGTGATACGACGATATAGGATTGGTGAATATCTCAGGGCAGGAGAGATACCACAATTGTTTAGCAGACACTTGGTCAAGGGATCAGTTTCACTCGTCTCTGACGAATTGTAGTGTGGTTCTAAGAATGGCAAGCCTCACTGACGATGCCAGCGAAACGTCTGGGAATGTAACGCACCCACGGTGCGACTCCAGAAATTACCATGCATACTATGGCCTCCTGACTAGGTGCGTTCCTCCAGGTCTTCCTACCAATATGACAAATTCACAAAAATAATGTCAAACAATTTTAATAAAGTTAAAATAAATGAGATATATGAGGTATATTAACCTTAACCGAAATAAAGTGAACACATCTCATATATCTCAAAAACCTACTTACAAACCTCGTTTTCAGAATTTGCTCGTATTGCCAGACTCTAGACACGACGTGTATATTTAAGCCTTTGTGAAAATACGACAAAATTGTGAAAACGAGACCAAACCACTTTTACTTAAGGCCATAAATGATACATCATTCTAGCAATCATATTTGCAACTCAGGCAACAGGCTCTCGGATAGTATAAAAGTGATCTACGAGTTTATCTCAAATGAGCCACATACAAGAAAAAGTAATGAGGTGAAATGTGCGTACAATGTGAGAGGCTTCGTCGGCCAAAGGGTGCTGAACGCAGGCTATCCAACAATTGTCCTTTCGGAATACTGGGAAAAGGCGTATCACCAAGACGACGACTCGCAGTTGAAGGTATGGCCTGGTAACCAGGACAAGTGGTAGTAGACGATGGCTGACATGAGTCAAATTCCATAGTCCCTGATCGTGTGAATACAGGCCATGCTGTATGCATCGAGACAGATACCAGGCTGCTAGATAAAGTCTCCAGGCTGGCTGGCGGGTGGTACTCGTCTTTTGTTCCACAAGATGTAACTGCAGCTGCAGAATCCGAGGTATCAAAAGTGAGCTCCTTGGAGGATCCTGCTGAAGATGAGCAGGATGGACCGTCTGTGGGGGGCTTGGAGCAGGATGGGCTTGAGGTAGAGCCAGCGGTGGCTTGAGTATTTCTGTTTATAAAGGTGCAGATATCGGAGATTCTTGGAAAAGGGTAGGTACTGGCTATGTAAGAATGAAGA